GAGATATTGCATCGATCATGTCTGTTACATTTTTTAGTGCATGCTGTGCCATATGTTTTCACTTAAGTTAAAAAAAAAACCAAAACTGCAGCAACTCTCCCATCCTCATTACACGGAGAGAATGCCAGATATTAGCTACTCTTTCTTATGAAAGCCTTTTATATTCTTTAAGCCACATGTACTGAGAAATTCTATTAATAGTCAGGTATTTCTCTGGATTTGTTTGTTGCCCTTCTCCAAATAACTCTTTCCTTTTGCTTTAGCTACAGAGGTAAACTTGGGGAGAAGGTCCTCTGGGATTAATAATCTCACTAACACTATAAACACTTTTTCCATTGCTTTCTCATTGACAAATTTAACCCTGAAAGTAATGCACATGCTAGAAGATCTCTGCAAAAATATGGACAGCATGTGCATATTCAATACTTCCGTAAGTTACAATAATAGAAGCACTGCTAGAAAAGTGCACAAATACAAAAGAAGGAATTTTGACTTCAATTAAAAAAATAATCTCCATGTAAATTGCTTAAGAGTCTGAGATTCCTGCAGTCTTCTTGCTCTCCACTGAAAAAGTCCCAAGAGCAGGCTCAGTGGGAGCTGGGAAAGAACAATTCCTACAAGCAAATGAGACCCGTGCAAATGGTGAAACGCAGGAGGCACTCCAACATCCCAGTTAATGCTGAAACAATAGCCTGGGACACAGGATGGTGCTTGGCAGCCTGAGCTGTCCCCCACGGGGCATCTTCATATTTGTGGCTTTTAGAATTCCAAGTTCTTGTTACCGTTTGATCTTCTCAACAACTCTTCCAGTTGACTAATGTCATCGTGCTCCTGAATGACATCCCTCGCTCTGGCTATGTACACACCAACGAACACGCTGGCAGCAGGGCGCGGGCCCACGCTGTTCTACACGAGTCCATGCTATTAAAGTGTTTGCACAGTCCCCAGTAGTTTTCATCAGGGCCAACAAATATCCTCCTCTATAATTCTCACACATTCACTGGGTCACAGGCTAACACAGGCCAGTGACCTTTCTTGATAAGAAGCCTGGGTATAGCCACCCTCTTCTGTAAAGGGGATTGTTGGATGGTGCTGTGCCAGGAAATTAACCTTTTTGAACAATGAGCTCAACTGCCTTCAGGACCAGAGGACAATCATTTTATTTTTTAATAGAGATAGAGTTGTCATTTCTCACAGTGGCACATCCTGTTTCTAAATTTTGTCAAGTCACACAGTAGGAGGCACTAAGCTCAACGTGGCACTGACAGTCCCATTTTTTCAAGTAAGTGCCTGTTTGACAACACAATTGTTCTTCAACACTTAGAAAATCTTGCTGCAGATTCTGGAAGAAAGTGTCATACTTTCACAGCCGGCTGCATAAGTCACTGGGTGAAACCTAGAGCTGCTGTTACACAAAAGGCCAAAACTAGGTACTTGTAGTGACCCTCTGTGATCCCAAAATCTAATACAGTCACACCTCTTCAGAAACAGGACATTTCTGTTACATTGCTTATTCTCTGCACCCAGAGAAAGCACGAGTTCCCATAAAGGGCTACAGACATCTGTGATGAATGCAATGACACCTTCAATCTGCTCTATTAGTTCCAACACTCCTGACAGTTCTCAACTCTGCTTTTGTTCCAGGTCATTAGAGACTGGGATCAAGTAATTAGGATCAAACCTTGGTCCAGATCTTTGGCAAACAGAGGAAGAGCCAACAAGCACAGCATACATTAAAACTCTGCCTATTTCAAATAGTTTAAGAAAAAGGTACAATTGCTCCTCATAAACTCTCTTCATCTATTTCTGCTACCTTGGAGAGGGCACTCACGAGACTACTGTTCAATAGGAGTTTGCACAAGACTTCCTAATGCATGCATCATCTCAGAAAATCCTGTTCATAAAGCAGTAGAGTCACCACCTGTTTATTCCTGTGCTTCCTTCATTTAGCAGACAAGTAATCACTAAGGTGGTTAACTAATGACAGCAGCAGCTTCCAATCTGACACGAGGTGTGTGTTATTCCTACTGCAATAGTGCACTTCAGAACCAGCATCATTCAGAGGGAAGTCTAAAAACTTTCATATTCAGAACCACATTCACCTTCAGGGCTTCTACACACAAATGCTCCTGGAAAGA